ATACAAAATTTATGAGAGTTTTATTCACATCTGACAAGCTGTTTTCCAATAATTTAAATCCATTAACTTTAAAAATAGATATTTCTTAGTTGGATGATTCTTAATTATCTGTGCACTACGAAGAGAATCATTCAGCAGGAACTGAGTGGTTCTTTTCATAATGCAGAGAAAAATATTTGTGACAATAAAATAGACAGAAAATACACTTTATATCACAGATTAATTTTAGAAGTTCTATTACAAGTCCCATAAATATAATAAGATTTGTTATCCATTCAAGTTAACTTTATTATTTGTGTAAAATATATGTTGTATTTCATGCATTTACATATCTTATTGTTTGGTTTTAGTTTATTATTTGTACATCTTTAAAATCTATGAATCGGATTGTTTTTACATGTATTTGTCTACTTATATGTTGTGTATGTAACTTGTTTGTTGACTTGATGCAGCATGCACCTTGTAGTTTTTGTAGCAAAAAAAAACTATACAATCAATCATTGCAAGTCTAGAAAGTACATAAAGATGCAATCTTTTATATATAACATTAAGATAAAGTATATTAAATAAAGATTTGTATACTTAGATACTTATACACTTGTTTATTTCAAGCTCTTTCTTGAGTATTACTGATCAGTTTAGTCCTCTTAGTATGTCAGTTTGGATGTCTATTTTTAATGTCTTGTTTTCCATCACTTGTGAATGCAATCCCTATGTACTTAAATTTCTCTACCTACCTCAATTACAGCTTTATTTAGCTGGAGAGTGCATTGAATAGGATTTCTTGAGAGTACTATGTTTAGTCTTTGGTATGCTTATTTTTGTTTCAGCATAAGTACAAAACCTTACTGTGGTGGGAGGACTTGCATTTCCTTAGTGTTCTGGAGTGTAATGCTGGCAGAAATATGATTAATTTTTATGATAGTAGGATAATCATCACAGACTGGCTAGAGGACAGAAAGCAGACAAAATAATTCAAAAACAACTATAAGATGGTAAACTCCTATAGTAAAGACTACATCACATGCATTCAAACTTTAAGCAGTGGCATTCATTTGAAAGAAATGTTAGTTTTCCCCCTTCAAAGTCTGGATTCCTTTAGGAGGAAGTGTGTGTATTTTAAGCTTAAGCTCAGATACTGGAAAATATACAGGTTTATTTACCTAGTCTGGAGGCAAAATATTAACCTTTCTTGGATGAGTGATACTGCCTTCACTCAGGTAGCAAACCTGGAATCCACCTTGATGGGTGTTTACAGTGCACATGCTAACAATGACTGTTCTAAGTGGAAGGGAGGAAGTAATTGGAACAACCCTATAATACAGACAAATGTCTATAATGAATATCTGTTTCCATCACAGAAATATTTATAAATATATCTGGTATAGATATTTCAGGTCAGAAATCTACACTAGTTTTCTATATTTTTCTTCAGATCTTTTTGATTTAATATCGAATCTTAAAATGAAGAGAGGAACAGAACTGATCATACCTAGTTATACACACCTTTAGACTTCAGTGAGTAAATGAATCTTGTTTATCTGGAAACCTAAAGTATTAAAGTGTAATGCTTTGGAAAATGAAGCAGTAAGAAAGGCTTTTGCAATTGATTTTTCTTCTAGATATCAGGCAATTCCTGAGGGGCAGTTTGATGTTGAGACAATAGAAATTGTTTAAAACAGCAGTTACTACATCAGCAATGTCTTACTGCACACAAATGTTTTGTGTGGCATTACATGGGCAAAAGAACACCTTGGTGGAATTGAGAATCTTAAGAAGCTATACAGGCAAAGAAGAGGCTTCTAAGTTATTAAAAGTGTAATTATTAATTTAGTCGAGATGGCACCTAACATCTATCTCTAGTAGGAAATTACTTAAGTGTTTTTTTGAAATGTTTAAAAGCTTTGATTCAATGCTGATAATATATCCTGTTGTGTTTGGCAGGCATTAATTATTAAAATTAGTGGAATTATAGGCAGATTATTTAGGCAACTGTTTGGAGATGTTTCTATATACTTATCAGGCTTTGCGATGTTTGTTATACTTAAAGAAGAGAGCTTAATTAGTATGGTTAAGCTCAAGCCAATATATTGAGTCATATAAAGGTGCAGTAGAAATTGTAAAATCATCAAAGGAGAAAGCTTGGGGAATGTCTGGCAGAAACTAGAATTATACAATACAAATGCAAATAAAGTGTTCTGGAAGACCATTTGTCATGTTTGGGAGAAGGAGAATATTGTTTGCTTAATAAAGAGTGCAACTGGAATCTCCTTACTTAAGAGAAAGACATTACCAACAGATGAAAGGACTGCTATTTGCATGATCTAAATCCAGTGGATATCAGAGTGATTGACATGGCAGGATGCATTTTGGGATGGAGAGGTAAAAAACATAACAGAGGTAAAAAAAAAAAAGATTGAATCACTTGATTCTTAAAAAGTAGCAGGTGGTGATAAAATCCTACCTGAAATGTTTAAAAGCCTTGATTCAATGCTGATAACATATCCTGTTGTGTTTGGCAGGTATCATGGAATTTTGGAAAGGAACCAAAGCCAAAGACAGACTGGGATTATAATTCTCTTTAAGAAAGAACAAATGGATGCTCTAATAATAATGCATCTCTGCTGAGTCTCCCTGGAAAAGTATATGCTAAATGTTTAGAAAGGAAATGTGGAAGTTGCAGTGTGGTTTTTGACCTGACAGAAGCATAACGGATCAAATCTTTGTTCTCCAACAAGTTTTTGAGAAATGCTGGAGCATGTAAAAGTAAGCTTGCATTTGGAATTAATGGCAAGCTTTCATCAGCCATTAAATCTATGGAAGTTCAGATATGCATATTTGTATAAACAGTGTTAAGTTCAAACCCTTCAGTATGCATGTTGGACTTTGACAAAATTGTATTATGTTATCTCTGCTGTTCATAATTCACATAGACTGGATTGATAGACACAGCCTGTTTAAAGAGAGAGTTGCTCTTGGAAACTAGAAATGTTAACTGCAACTTACCGATGACTTGGTTCTGCTCAGTTACTTGCAAAGTGATCTTCAGAATACACATGATCAGTTTGTACTGATTAATTAATTACTTCAATTAATTATGTATTATACTTATAATATTGAAATACGGCCTAATATGGTTAAATACTATTGGGTTAAGATAAACATCTTAACCCAATTGGTATATAGTAAAGCCAAACAATTGCCAGGTTATATCGGGTTATATTACTACTACTATTATTAACTAAATGCTAAGTAATTTGCTACTAGAGGCAGGCATTAGCGAGAGATGGCACCTACTGCCTGCCTCTAGTGCCATATTACTAAGCATTTAATTAATAATAGTAGTAGTAATATAGCACGATATAATCTGGCAGTCATTTGGCTTTTAATATTCAGTTTTAATATAAAATTAATTTTAGTTAGAATATACTTTTTAATACTGTTATATTTGTTATATTAATATTAACAATGTTAAATAACCTGTAAATTTGATTTTTATTTATTTATTTATTATTATTTATATGGGTTCTAGAATCTTTCTGCATTCTAAAATCAATAGCACACTGTAGAGCTTGAGATATAAGGAGTGTTTGTGTTTTAACTGATTTTTCTTTTACCAAAACAACTTTTATTGTGTTCTTGTCTTCTCATCTTTCAGTTTTGTTATGTGAACAGAAACAACTTCAGTTGTTTAGTACCTTTGTTAAAGAAATTGATAGGTTGTTGATCGTGTCATCTGCCAACAGATAAGTAGAGAGCATTCTCCTTGAAACAATACGAACTTGAAGGGACGATGAAAAATATAGCCAAATAATCAAGGATTTGGTTAAGTACACGAAAACGTTTCTATGACAATGCAAAAGAATAATTAGCTTTCATTATTTTGGGAAAATGCTAAATTCAAATACATTAAACCTTGATTTAACTTACTGATTAGGGAAAAAGAGAGTATCTGTTGTTGCTGTTGAGTGTTAAATCGATTGTGTATTAAAAATGCATATTAATAACAAACTTAAAATGAACAAAATGTGTTAAAACATTGCTATAATATATAAGAATGATTAAAATAATATGTTTAATGTACAGTACATCTAACCCTTTATTTACGAAGTAAGTTGATTCAAGAAAGTTTTGTATAAATCATAACCATGTAAACTAAGATTAACACTTTTCAGGAAGAATAGGCTCCAAGGTTTCATGTTTTTCATATAAATATCAGTCTTAATTCGTACAATTTATGAAATTTTACAGAATTAATCTGCTGTATAAATCAAGGATTAATTGTATAAAGTTTTTATGAAGATATATTTAAGTTGTAAATGACTACAGATAATTTATGATTTTGAATACGATACAAAATATTTTATTAATAATTTATATATTAATCTTGAGTAAAAATGATTGATTTATTTTGTTTTTAATATTTAAGTATTTATTATTTGCACAAACTACATTTTATATTTATTTTTTTTAGTCTCATTTTTTGTTATAAATATTCTTTATTACCAGAAAAAACTTCATATTAAGAGTATTATATGATGATGTATATTTTTTTACATTTTTAAATAATGAGATGTAAACATTAACCTTGAATGAAAATGAAGAAAAAATTGTTAGAATTAGGTCAAAGTAAAAATAGAATTAAGTTTAGACTTGAATGAAATGTAATTTTATTTATTTTTATTTTTACAAATCTATAAATGCTACGTGTACAAATTAAATTCGTTCAGTTTAATTTAAATGGGAAGTAATTTGATTCATAAGTGAATAAATTTGTTTGTGAATCAAATGTGACGTTTAAAGAAAATATCTTTAAATGCGTGTTCTATTTAGACTGAGGAAGCATTAATTATAAGAGGCAAAATGTACTTTGCAAAAGAAATTTGAATGAATGTTGTTTACGTATCATCAAATTGCACATGATTATTAGAATTAAGACTTGATTGATGATAAACTCTTGCTTGTATACATATAGTTAATTTGGTTTCTTGTCATTTTAGATGTATGGAGTCTTGGTGTTATTTTATATATGCTAGTTTGTGGACATGCTCCATTTCAAGAAGCAAATGATAGTGAAACATTAACTATGATAATGGACTGTAAATACACTATCCCATCACATGTTTCTTCTGTTTGTGTAAGGTATGTAGTTTTTATACTTAAAAATTTCTTATATTTAATTCTTGAAAACATATTTTTGTATTAATTAGACATAAATTTATTTATACACTACTCATCATATTAATCTCTTCAGTTGTATTGATATTTGAATGTCGAGATTAATGTGATCAGTATCACTTTTGATAACCATATTCTTATTTCATAAATTAATTTTATATTAAAAGATGATAAGTTTGTTAACTGAACAAAAAATTAGAAAGATGTATCATAATTTTCTTTCAATAACTTTGGATTGTATGTGTTTAAAACACAGCTGAAACAGGAGTGCAGGTTGGAACCTTTCCTTTTCAATTCAGGAGACTGGACAGGCCAAGGAAATGTGGCAATATGGAGACATCTGTGGAAAATCCTAGCTGTGTGTGGCCAAGCATTATTTTGTTGGAAAATGGCTGTTTGCAGCTGTCATGAAAGGCAACACAAGGATGCAGAATTTGCTGAACATACAGCTTTACCGTCAATGTCTCTTGCTTCACTAATAGAGGTGACTGACTGTCCTAAGAAATGACTCCCCAGACCAGCATGCTAACAATGGGGGCAGTATGCTGCTCCCATTGTTAGCATGCTGGGTATATACCAAGGTATATTGACATTCTGATCACTGGTCCTTCACATTCTAACATGATAGTTGTCTGTAACAGAAATAGGATTCAGTTGCTGTGCATGCATGCAAATTGACCTCTGCATTATCTGCCAATGATACAGGAAGAGATGGGCTGTGTCTGATAGTGGATAAAGATGCCATTGCTGCTGTTCATACTTGTTTTGTGATCAGACTGATTGTCTCTCCTGATGAGGTGTCCAAAGTCTGCATGCTGTGTATATGTAGGAAAATAAATTCTTTTTGTTGTTTCCTTAAAAGTCATTTTATATGAGTTGCTTCTAATTGACCAATGCTTTATGGCACACTTCTACAAAAGTGTGCTGTAAAGCAACATAAGATCTGTCACAAAGGCTGATTGCTTGGGAAAAGAAGTCATCACAAGCAACAGTTAAGATGAGAAAAATGGCATAGATTCTTGCATTAGGGTAAGAATTTAAAAGTTTTTTCAACTGATAGCTCAAATCAAACTTTTAAGAGTTGTAACAAAACTGTATTTTTAATCTCTATAAATGTCAGAAAGTTTACAGAAAGTCAGTTAAAATCAATGAAAAAATCAACAGTCTTGAGTTTTTCTTTTTTTTCTCTCTCTTTCTTTTTGCTTATATCCTCTGTGAAGCAGACTATTGAATATCTAGCAAAAGTTTATAGTGACAATGGATAGTCAGAATTTGTTCTATTCAGGTCTAGAGATTAAAGCACCAAAGACAAGCTGTGATCTAAATGATTACAGGAGATTGATCTTATGAGTCAGCTGGTTGCTGAGGATGTGTGGATCATACAGAAGATAGCTCCTGAACTTGGCTTTGCTCACTCAGCAGTTTGTGTGTCACTGAAATGGTTAGGTATATCATGTATACAAGTGCACATCCTGACTGAACAGAAAAGTCTGACTGCATTTTCAAATGTGCATTACTACTGATTTAGTACCAGAACTGTCACTTATTCCTTTGTGACCTATGATGAAAAATGGATTTACTATGACAATCCAACTACCCAAGGTGCCTAAGTGATGTCTGATGAACAACCGCCTATCAAGTCTAAGCGAGCATTGGGTAACAAGGTGTTGCTGTTGCTGTTGTCAAAGCTTCATTTATCATCACCACATACTATTGGGTAAAATGATTGATAGTAACAGCTTCTGTAACATGCTCAATAACCTGGCTACAAGGATAGCCAAAATTTGTCTATATATCCAACTGGAAGGGAGTTTGGTTTAATCTAGATAACACTAAACCATATACCAGTAAGAAGATAATCTGCCTCCTGCTGCAGCTAGGCTGGAACTCAATCACTTGCCATATTCTCCAGATCTTGCTTCATCATATTTATACCTGTTTAAGTATCTGCAGAATCATTGTAATGGTTAATGTTACCTGGATAAGAAGCTGAAAAAAAGTAGGTGAATGATCACTTTGCTTTCAAGCAGCCATATTTCTTGGAGCTAGACATTCCAAAGCTGGTCAAACATTGGTTCTGATGGTCATAGGTAACAATGGGGTATACTATCCTGGTTAATTTTTTATATTATCTTTAAATAAAACCATTTCTGCATCCTAATTTTCAGCGATAACTTTTCAATTCTCTTGATATATTTTGTATCTTTTTTAATGGTATTATTTGTTATTTTGTTACAACTATAAAAATACTAAGCCTTGAGTAAAAATGATTGATTTATTTTGTTTTTAATATTTAAGTATTTATTATTTGCACAAACTACATTTTATATTTATTTTTTTTAGTCTCATTTTTTGTTATAAATATTCTTTATTACCAGAAAAAACTTCATATTAACCTTTCAACAGTTGACTAGTCAGGTATGGTTCTACCCCCAGTAGTGGAGAATAAATGTGGGAAATTTTTGAAGTATTTTTTCACGCATTTTTTCTCATTATCATTTCATAAAAAGATTTTGTAAACAGTTATGTCTAGTAAAGAAAAGTTTTTTTTATTGTTACATAATTAATTTTTTAGGTGAAATTTTTGCGGTAGTTTTTGGCGGTACCTCCAAAAGAATTTAACAGATATATCCGTCCTTCACCACTGCCACACGATCGCCCTGGACAGATATATCCATCCTTCACTGCTGAGTGGTTAATAATTACCAAATCAAGCTATTATCACATTCATTATAGGACTACATATTGCATTCATCAAAAAGAATAAGATGATTAGTAACCTTTAACCCAGCAAATAAAGAATATTTTCAATTGCATTAACTATCTTAGGTTGGGTTTGAAGAAAAATTTATGGTTGCATGTAGAATGCCATGTTTGCAAATTTAATTTAACATTACATTTGAATTTAAAAATTAAACAAATACTTAAGTTAATTGTACTGTAACTTTTGTGCATTGGATAAACATCCTGCATTAATTTTTCAATTTATTGATTTACTGGATTAAAGATCATTGAGCACTTTATTGTAGACATCCAGTTTGTCGGCTTTATGCAGTTAAGAAGAATGTTTATCTACTTTAATATCAAGTTATTACAAGTATCCAGCTATTAGTAATTGGAGAATTTAGATAAAACATGTAATACTTGTATAAGAATTATTATATTTAAAATATAAACATTTCAAGTTATTTATAATATGTTTAAAACAGAATACTTTATGATTAAAATTAAAACAAAACATATTATCAAATGCTTTATTGGAGTCAAATTTACACTTATACTGGGTGTTCTTGAGTGCTTTTGAATATTATACTTAATTTTTAAGTGTTAATTTGTTCACAAATATTTGCAGCACAATTTTGGATATTAATATGACCTATAAAGTATAAAACATTTTGGAATTAAGTTGCAGTTTTCAAGTTTAATTAAGGGTATTTACAATTGGAAGCTTTTCTTGCTTTTAGAAGAGTTGTGTTTTAGAAAAGCTATGAACCATGAACACACATTCAAACAGAATGATTTGCAATCCTTATTTTATTTTTGTCAGATCACTTTATTGCGTGGCATTATTTTATTTTATTTTTTTCTTGAGGAATCCTTTCTGCCATTTTTAAATTCACATAATAATTCTGGTATATCTGTTGGCAAATTTCAAAAACTGGTGAACATAGTGAGAAAAGTTATGGATGTGAATATCTTTATTATTTAGTCTTTCTAGAATTGGATCAGTTTATATTTTTTGCTTAAATAAAATGCTTATTCTTATGTAGTATGAAGAAATTGTCTTAAGGTATATATGGGCTAGTACTGTTTTGATTAATATATAATAATTTCAATTTATTTAACATTTTTATTTCACTTATTGTATACATGATGAGAACAAGTCACACACAATGTTTATACATATTAGTTAGCATTTGACACTTCTTCATAATCAATTTTTCGAAACATTCTTTTACCACTTTTCATCATAAGTTCCTGACTTAAGTACCACTTTCTGGCTTATATTTTTCCAAACATGTCAAAATCCAATTATTCCTTTGGGTGCTGATTTTTGCAATGTGTCTTCTGCATAATGTCCAGAATCTCTTGATTCCTCTGGCTTGAGGAACATTTGGAGCATTATTCTTCCTTGTCACATATTCAATATTCTTTGCCTGTAAGTAGTTACAACATATTTTTGCATAGTGTAGACTTGCCATATCAGATCAGAACAAACTACATTCAATTTTATGATATTATTGAAGTATAAAGGGAAGTAGTCATTATCTCAAAGACTATAGGAAACATTCTTCCAGATAAGTGTTCTTTTCCATTATGAATGATTCTGAAATGTTCCCATCTCATATATTGCTTGCAGATCATAAATTTAACCTTGGTTGAATTTTGCCTTCATATTTCACTTCACCTTTACTTTTCTTATTGATGAAATGATGCATTATTTGGGTTCACTGCAATATAAGTCTCATCATACATTATGAGTACTTTTTATACTGTTTTCTTATAAATTTTATGGCATCCACTTTTGGATCACTTAGCTTGATCCTTCAAATACTTTGGGGTTTTCTGCGTGATATATGATTTGATTCTGAAGGTGTTAGTCTTGATATCATACTAAGTTGAATGTGGAATTTGAAGCCTAGTGGAAGCAGTGCAGACAGAAATAGTTGGCACTTTTTGATAAAGTTTCTCAACTTGCCTCACTTCTTTAAGTGTTGATCTTCTGTGTGGAGGACCAGGAACATTCTTATACTCTATCAGTTTTGTCATACCTTTAGATAATGTCATAAATAGTTAATTTTGCAAATACTACTCAATAATCAAAAAGATGGCTTTTGGTTATACTGAGAGTGTAGCATTTGTATTTATAGCCAGTATTCACTGGTTGATTTTGTCTTCTCCTCTTTTGAAGTGTTGGACAATGTGTAACTTATCATGTTTTGCAACTTCTGTGTAGAAATGCA